AGACTGTCTCCTGTAAGCTAGTTTTACAATCCTCACCTGGTCAGATCTATTAACTCCTGCCAGTATGTCCGTAGGCTGTTGAAGTAGAGCGTTTGAGCCTCCCTGCTGAAGTAGTCGTTGGGGTGTTTGTGCCACTGAAGGATTGGACTGAGCGCCCTGCCGGCCTCCACCGCTGCCTCCAGCTCACACAGTGTGTCGTGGGGGAGCAGAGACACTGCTATGTAGTAAAACAACCTCTCACTCAGCGCCTGGCAGAGAGGAATCGTTCATAATCAGGATACTTGTATAATACAGATACTATTATTCAATCTCAGAGCTGTCTCTGTATTTATGTAAAATCTTCTATGTTCTGTCTGTATTAATGAAAAACGTTTGTTTATATTGTCTTGATTACAAATACCCCTTTTCCTATTATTACTTGGTTTAATGGTTTGTTCAATATTATATCATTAATTTGTATCTTTATATAATTCTTCATACCTTTGCAACTCTTTGCACTTTTGGTTGGATGCTAAAGTTGAGTCTGATCTAATCTCACTTTTGACAAATGCTGCTGGACAGGCCTTAAATGTTTGTAGACTAAACAAACAAATACTGTATGTTGCAGTGTGCATTCTCAGTAAAGCACAGTGTCACGTTATTTCAGCTAGACACAATAAAAAGTAAATATAACTTTTTTTTTTTTTTTTTAAAGAATGATTCCTCTGAGAAAAGTACATGTGACACTACATTATCATGACATATAGCATACAATAACTGACTCAACTTTACCTGTGCACAGGCACAGCCTGCATGGCCATCAAACACACCGAGCAGCATTCCTCGTGTCTGCAGGCACGTGGCCGCGCTCCGACGGTCTTCTATAGGAGCGTTTGCTGGCAGCTGATTGCTCTCAAAACCCATCACTGATGACACGTTCTTCCCATCAAACTCTGGCACCTGGAATCACGACAAATACAAACAGATGAAATACTGAGATGCAGAGATGGTTAGGGGAGTTTTAAATGAACGATCTGACAAACCTTAAAGCTGTACTCGTTGGCTTTCAGAATGGAGTTGACCTGCGGGGGGGTGAGGATGTAGCTGCGGAGCACTGAGGTTGTCTGGTAACTTCTCGAGTGGCTGTGGTTTTGCCATAAATGAGAGGGCCGTTTCGAGGCAGATCCATGAGTGATGGGTCCTAACTGGGACTGGTGGTGTTGGCATGGTAACAGACTGGAGGTGAGGACCTTGGTACAGGACAAACGCCTGAGCAGTTGAGACGTCACAGGCATGGCTGAAGGAGCACTGTAGGCGTACACACACAAAGAACAGAGCAATGATGTTTACACAGCTATTGAAGAAGCATTCATACTGAGCTCGTAGGCAACGAAGTAAGACAGCAACAGCTGCATGACGTGCAAAACAGGGTTGACAAGATGCATTACATTTGAGAGTGTTCTCTCTCTACACCATTAAGCTAACAACGTGAAAGCAGAAATACATTATGTGGTGAAGTTAAAGCTAGGGTAGGCTGTAAGTATCAGGGCCTTAAATTGATCATTTTAAACACTGGATGTCTAAATAACCAGAAACATCAACCTATAAAACTTGCAAGAGTGACTTAAGAAATCGAATGAGACATTTGAATATATATTCACTTTCTAGTATTTGGTATTTGATTTCCCCTGAGGCAACTGTTGACTTTTTTTCCAGCTGAAAATGTAGCCAGATCGTTTCTATCATCTTAATCAGATGTTGGTTGTAAGATTCACTTGTTACAGCTGAAATAAATGTAGTGCAACAATTCTATAGTTGACTTAACCATTAAGAAGATTTGTTACATTGTTTCGTATTGTAATTGTGAGATTATTCATTCATCATTTTAATTGTGGTGCTTTGGATTTGCAATTAAATATTCTGACAGGTGTTATCATTCTTTTCTGGAGACTATTTATACTGTAACAGTGATGCTGGACAATAGTGAAACCCCTTACTATGAGTACAATACAGTAAAACAGCACCAAAACTACTAAACTAAAACGACAGAAGAAGGGTGACTTTTAAGCGTTTTTCAAAATGTTTTAGTTTGTTGTGCCATAATAATGGGCAACAGAATGTATTTGTACAGGCAAAATAAAGTGTATCAACATTATTGTAATTATTTAACTTGCATATCCACCTTGCAAATATGCAGCACAATGTGCATTCAGTGGGGGAATGTCATACCAGGAGACAATAGTACACATTGTAAATTGCTGACATCTAGTTATATAACAGAAATAATACAGCAAGAGTGGCTGACTGTTCCTGAAAGTTTAGGACAGTCCACGTTGGTTTCTTAGCCTGAAGAAAGAAATGAGTGTCAGCAGAGGACACCAACAGAGTATATTCTGGCATAACTGTGTAGTTAGGTTTGTAACTCTACTCTCCTCTCCACCGATGGGTCAACAGGACAGCACGCTCCCCCCCAAAATAGCTTTGGCAAGAATCTCAGCTCTGACATTCAGATCTTGGCTAGTGCTCTGATCATAGTGACCCACTGAACTGGAATCTAGCTGGGTCTCCCTATATAATCTGACCTAATTGCATGCATAGTTGCAGTGCCTCTACTCCTCAGAGTGTACTCACGTAAGAAGGATGGGGGCAGCACAGGTGATGACAGCACAGGTGAAAATATGCTAAAATGTTCAGCGGAAATATCCTTCAGTCTGACCCGCTTTAATGGAGAAGACCGTGCAGCCAACTATCCACCCAAACTCACACAGTGTATGAGTCACACAGACCACAGAGGGCCCGTCCCAGCTCTGCAACAAAGTTGCCTTGTCTGTTGACATCACTAGCCTCTCCTAGCCAAAAGAAAAGCAAGCCTACAGAACTGTAAGCTAACCTCTATCTGTCAGCGAGACTCATAAAGTATTGCAACAAAGAGCATAAGTGTGATAACTGAGAAAGAGGACAACAAACGCTGCCTTCGTGATATGACATTAACAGATAGCGTACCGTTAAATGGATAAGGATAAGACGTGCGTCAGTCCAGCAGGCAGAGCAGCCAAATTCATGCTAATGGTAGCTAGTGGTATTTGGGTTACACCCACCGACTATTTCAAACAGGATAATGTCGACTAACATGTAACATAGCAGCTCAAAATCATGCAGACGTAAACGCCTAATGATGATCTGCAACGTAAAATGTAGACTCACCTTGACGGGAAGACAAAAAGAAGTTATTGCAGTTCATAGTTGAACACCGACCCCTCTGGTCTGTATCATTCAGGAGCGCCGCACCGCAAAGTCAACGATGATTGGCTGAGCTGTGACAGTCCCCATGACGTCAGATTAAACCCACACGCGCAGAAAGGGCCTTTCAAAAATAGGTTATTTTCCTGTTCAATCAAATTATGTTCAAAGCCGTTTGCACCTTCATGCCATGTGACTAATAAAAAAAAAATTTGTCGGCCAGGAGCATTTTGGCATATTCTGAGCGAGCACGAAAGCCCAAAGGCATGACATACTTTAGGCTACTATAGAATAACTAAGCTGTTCAAACAAGCCTCTCATTATCATATGACATTTCGCTGGAATCGTCTTACACTATTCAACAATACACACATAATTGCAGAAACAAAGTATAGCCTTAAAGAAAGGCAAATAAATAAAACTCTTTAGTTTTAAGATAATAGCTTTTCAGATGGAACAACAGAGAAAGACACAGGTGACCTTATATATGTGTTGAGTTGAGCATATTGGGTTGGCCACCCCACACCCCTGCCTTAGGGTGTTTTGCACCGACTGAGAAGTTAAAGTCTGTCTTTCTGTTTAACAGTCTCTCCACTTCATCTGAACACTCAATTAATATGTATGTAATTTGTATATCAATGTCTTTAAAAATCCTGGAATCATTTTTTATATATTTTTTTTGCTCTGTGCTTTGCAAAATTATCTTAGCTTACATTTTTGTTTCAAAAGATATATGAATGCAATGATTATCAGTATACATTTGAAGAAGCAATTCTGTTTTATTACAGTTTTTTCCAATTGCTAAAACACAATTTTGAAAACTAGGCTGGTTTTATCAAAATACACAATTCACAAAACCACACACCCAAACTGCAAAATACCTCATATATATCCTGCAAAATGAAGCACTGCAACCAAAACTACATATAGCATTATCAAAATCAAACTTTTGCACCAAATGGCACACACTTCATTCATATTACCAGATTTTTGCCTAACCAACTACACACTGTTGGGCATAATGAAAAGCACTCTCATCTTTAGTATGCTTTGCCATAATACTAAAATAGTTAGAATTGTAGAAAATTCTTCAGATTGTTCACATGCACAGAAATATTTGCAGATACACACACATGCTGTTGAAACATTTATTTATTTTTATTTTTCACCAAACAAGTCAGTGCTACATATACCAGTACAGTAAAACGGCTCGAGTTGGGCTGCACTCTCTGTCCAGCCTCTCGGTTGATGACATGATCAACTAAGGTTGCTCTGACTTCATTTGAAAGTTGTTGTCTTCTTTGGCCATGAACTCCTCTACCAGCTCTACCCCGACCTCTCACTCTTCCTCCCCCTCTCATTCTCACCCTCCCTCTTCCTCTCTCTGCAACGTCTTCCATTGTTGTTGTAAAAAAAGGTGCTCACTGGTGGTCTTTTTATAGTGCTTACTTCCATTGAGGTGTTTGGCCAGGTGGCACATACATTGGCCAATTAGCTCATGTAGTGTCATTTTGAATGGCAGTGTTTTGAAATGGCAAACGTTTGACTTTAGGTCAGATTATTGTGTTTTATGCAGAGAACCGGGTTCAGTGCATTTAAAAAGTGCCATTTTGAATTGCAAAATGTGTGTAAAGCAGAAAATGTGTTTAGACTTTTGGAGACTTGGAGAGGTTTTGCTCTCTGTGTGTCAGTTTAAATAATTGTGCTATGCATGTAATTTTTGTGTGTTAGCAATTGGGAAAAAACTGTAACTTAAAGTAAAGAAAAACACCAAGGCTGTCCATATATCAAAATACTTTAATTATTAAAAAAACATTTAAAAAATATTGTTAAAATGATCATATTTACATCATGAAACGGAAGTGAAAATGCTGAATATTTATAGAAAAGTAAAAAAGAAAGCTGCGCAGTCTGTGAACAGTAAACACTTTTGAGAGAAATGCCACTAAACAACACTGACACTACGTATTAACAGGTCATTTCATATCAGAAACCGCTCATCCACCATAGTCTTGTTGACAAGGTTCTTCCTTCCGAGAGTGTTACGGAGCAGGCGGAGTATCTGTAATGAATGACACATTTTTTAATTCATGTACTTTGAGCATCCCGAAGGCCACTTTCCACATTAACACCAAAACTTACCATTTGCTGTAAATATGTAAGAACAGCTGCAAGCACAAAGCTCTGGGATCCCAGGTCGACGACACAGAAAAACAAAGTGTCAAAGATCAGCAGTGTAGCCTCATTTCCATAATACAGCACATCACTGAAGGAGTGGGCCTCATCTACAATTAAAAAAAAAAAAAGCAAACATGGTAAATAATGCAACATGGGAGACAGAACAGGCTGGTGTGTACAAAAGATTTCAGAACAATGAAATCAACTCTCTCTCTCTCTCTCTCTCACACACACACACACACACACACACACACACACACACACACACACACACACACACACACAACACACACACACACACACACACACACACACACACACACACACACACACACAACACACACACAACACACACACACACACACAACACACACACACACACACACACACACACACACACAACACACACACACACACACACACACACACACACACACACACACACACACACAACACATTCAACAAATGAAAAGACATATAATCACATGAATTCAAACTTCACCAGGCATCAGTGTGCTTGTGGGAGTTTTTTTTGCTGATGTGCATCTGCACTCACATGGTCTATAATGGATCCCAGGAAGTAGTTCATGGTGTTGTAGGCTTTGGCTTGCTGCTCCAACCCATTACAAGAGCCTGCGTCCATCAACCGTGATGGACCATTCCTATGAAGTCCAGGAAACATGTTACCCTTAAAAAAAAGGAAATTAGGAGTTATATTGTCTCTTAGTTTGACATTATATAGTTATGACAAACACAACAGATTGTAAACACACCCTGCTGAAAGGCTCCCGTATCCTGTCGTATTGAACCCGCAAACGGTTTGTGATAGACACCTGAAAGGTCTGCAGCTCTGAGTTGGGAAGTAGACCTCTTTGACTACACAGAGACTCCTAGAGACGGAAAGATGGACAGAAAAAAGAGGATGGATATCATGTGTAAACAATCATTTCATTGATATGCTACAACTACTAAAATAGCATGTAGTCTGTTGGTGTTTTACATGTTCTCTCCTCAGATTGTTGTTCATTTCCTCCATGTTTGTATCTGCATGTCCATGTACTGAGCGCCCATGGATGTAGTAGCCAAAACAACGGTGAGACAACAGCAGCACAGATATCTATATAGAAATAAAGAGAAAAATATACTTAAGAACAGCTAGCCAAACAAATGACTAATTCTCAAAAATATGAATTAAATAAAACTTACATTACTGATGGAGCAGAGATCTACAAACTGACGTACTTTGTCCTCCACAAAGTGCTCATAAAACACGGTGAAGAAAATCACCTGCAGTGATAAATGTTGATCTTTTAACTTAGTTGCTATGCTTGATTATATATTACTCACATTTTATAACAATGACAGCAGGACGAAGGTGACAGTTTTACCTGCAGAAGTCCAATGCAGAGCCACAAAGTTGCTGCCACGCCGTAGCGGAGAATCAGGCTGTAGGCGGGGGTATACGCCTCTGGGGAGCGCTCTAAGGTCGGCCAGGGGTCTCTCAGGGCTAGGTTGGAGAAACCCAGCACCTGCGCAACACAGGGTGATATGTCAGCTATGAGGACAAGGTTGGAAGGCTGAAAAAATGATCACAAAACAGAGTGTAGTGTATGATGTACAATATGTACCTCAAGAAAGAAGAGCACAGCTATTATTTGAAAAGTTGGGCTGATCTTGCGGATGGTCTGGATCTCGTTCCATTCATTGGCCACAAAATAGGTCCTCCAGATGCTGACCGGAGAGGGCTCACGTTTGGACTCACCAGCCGCTGAAAGAGCAGAGAAAATTGTGAATTGAGTTCAACAGCTTGATGACTTCTAATGAACAGCGTGATGTATGAGCTGAGAGAGAGTACTGTATTTCTGCACCTTGCACAGTCCTGCCAGCTTTGCTTCTTGGCCTCTCCCAGTCCATCAGGAAAACATCGACTGACACCTGAAGGATCAGCTTGTGGAGAAGCTGGAGAGCCTTGATTCAAACACACAAAACAATTGTTTTTCTATGGAAGCAAAACCCTGAAGCTTTCAATACAGCTGATCTTTCATTGTTTAACCTTGAGGGCGAAGGCGCAGCCGATGTAGGTCACAAACTGCTCCTCCTGAGCAGGCAGTGGTAACAGCACTGATACAGACTGCTGGGCCTAAACAGACAGACAGACACACACAAAATAACTCATGTGAAACAACTAATAACAATCAATCTTTATTCTATAAATTAAAAAAATGAAACAGTGAAGGTTAAGAAAGAAAGTACTTGCCTTAAACGTCTAAAGTGTGCAAAGAGGAAAGGTTAAAAACCCATGCAAAGACAAAAGAAACACTTTGAGTTTGGAATACAAATTAAGTTAAAAAAAGAAAGAAGCAAAGGAAAAAGCTACAGAGGGGAGATATCGATTCAAACGTTAAAGACCACTCATGAATGAAAATGAAAAGATTTAGACAAACCTTGTAAAAGATAAGCCAGTAAAGTCCAGTTCCAACGGTGACGGTAAAGAAAACATTGGCCAGATCTCCGGCATAAAACAACAAAAACTTCATCACCGTCTTAGGCAGAAGGAGGGAAAGACAAACATTACTTCCAAGTGTTCAATATGTTGATGGAAGTTCCTTAAATAATGGCGGGCAAAAGAAGAAGTACCTCCACATCAATGAGCGGAGACGCAATCCTTCTCTTCCAGCTGACCGTCTTCAGTAGAGAATAGAGCACAGCCACGCCACCCATCACACCCAGAGCCGTCTGTGCACACACAAAAACATCAGAGCTACAGGTGATACTGTACCGCTGTCTGCTGTAACAAAAACACTCAGAGCATCAGTCAGGTGCAAGAATGTCTCTTTAATCTGTTGTTTTAAACCATTTAAAATCAAAATATTCCATTCATGCTTCTACTCACATTTGTCTTCATGCGGGCCTCATTCTGATCCATCTCATACTCCACAGCAAATGTTATCTAAAGACCAAATAAACACAAACCACTTAAAAGTGCGATTTTGAGATAATTAAACAGAAAGCAATTCATTTGATCAATTATTCACTTTATCAGAGAGCAAACAAAGACAGTATGTTCGTGTGTATTGCTTTATCTGTGAGGACATCATATTAGAAATAATAATAACAAAAGTACATGTTGATACTTTGTCTTTTTTCCTCTTGTGCATCCTAGCAGGCCTGAAATTGTATTAGTAGTGAAAACTATGACTTTTGGCCTTCAACTTTTTAATCTCAGTAAGAGGCAGAGATACAACTTCCTTATAATAGATACATACAGTAGAAAAAGGTTGTGAATGAAGGGCAGGAATATTGTTTTTAAACCAATATAAAGAACCATCGTTTGACTCTCAGCCTAACAAAAGTTACACATTCAGATTTATATTCATAAATGCACTTCATACCATATCCATCAGGATAACAAGCTAAGGATCAAATTGCAAATAATTGATTGAACATTGCAGTAAACGACAATCCTCTGGTTCCACAATTAATCTTTACTGTACATAATATGCATTAAGAACCAAGCCAAGGTCAGCAGCCTACCAAACTAAATGTTTGCATGAATAAAATGTAGGATTACTCCACAATGAAAAGTTATGTGTGTGTGTATGTGTGTGTGTGTGTGTGTGTGTGTGTGTGTGTGTGTGTGTGTGTGTGTGTGTGTGTGTGTGTGTGTGGGCTGTACTCACAGACACAGTTTGAGTATCGATATCTGTGATGGGAACGTCTCTGTAGGTCATGATTATTAGAGGAGGATAAACCTGTCCCTCAAGTGTTCGTGGGACCAGCTGGAACCTACCAAACACACACATTCGATCAAAAAAAGTCAGCACCCCTTCACAAAGCACTTTGCATCCATCATCCTTTTTCATGGTAGTGTGTGAAAGTTAGAAACCCACCTTATTTTAACACTGCTGGTTACACGGATGACTTTAGGCTGGGCACTTAAGCTCTTCTCTCTCCCGCTCAGTCCATCGACAAGAAATATTCGTCGGGACAGGTACCAGTTCTTCATGCTCTCTGTAAGAAGACAAAGGATTTTGAAGCAATGCACACACATATATATAAAGCACACACTTTAGTATGAAATCCCACCTTGGTTGATGAAACGTCCATTGTATTGCTGGTTATTGACGAGTGTAGGCAAGGGCAGAAGTTTTTTATTCTCTCCTCCACCAAGCTCCATAAACACATCGTAGAACAACGGCTCTGGATACGTATCCAACAGCTCTTTTACTGACAGATCACACTACACACACACACACACAAACAGATGCACACATTTTATAATACAACTGGACTTTGCAAACACATTGATCCACTGTGCAAGAAAAAAATGCCACTCACACTTTGTTGGTAGGCGGTTCCAAAGCTGAAGGCTGCCACCTGTTTGGTTTTTGTGTCTGGACAAAGCTAAAAGAGTAGAGCAGAAGAAGAGGGTGTGGTGGAATATTTAGCAGCCTTTTGTATGTCTTTGGGTTTTTTTTAGGATATGAGAGTTGTTGGGAAGCAATTGTCCGTACCATAAACCTATCTGGGTAAACTAAGCACACATACCCATTTCATAAAAAGCTACAATCCCCTGATTTATTCAGTCTCACCATCAGTTGATTTTCATCTCACCTGGATATTTTGTCCTCCTACAGGCTCCCATCTAAGGAACTCTCCTCTGACATTATAGACAGCAGCAATCAGCTTAATGTCAGTGTTCTGACGAAAATAAAAACAGAACATTTCATATTTAAAAAAAAAAAAACTTTTGGTACCAATTCTGGTTTACTGCTCAATTTGTAGTTTCAAAAAATAAAAATAAAGTGGGTGATTAAATGTGATCACATACCGGTACTTTGTTTCTGCCTCTGAAACTGAATCCAACGGGAACGGGATCAGTTTGAAGCACTCTACCAGCCAGTCCTGGTTCTTCCCCATAGTAGAGCCACGGCAGATTAACTCTCCTGGAGGAATGGTCAACAAAGTGCTTTGAAGGAAAGTACACTTGCAAAGATATCACAGTAGATACTGTATGTACATAATGCCTTGATGGAGTTGTTTACCAATATGAAATGTCTTGAGTTGAGCTCAGAGCAGCCCTGGATCTGTAGATAGTGTTAAAGAGGCCGCAGGCATCAGTGGACACGCCAGTGAAGGAGTGCATGTTCATCACACACATGTTCCCAAGTGCCTGACATGCGGTTAGGTTTGAGAAAACCTGCAACCAGACAATTTGTTAATGCACAGCAGCCGATTAGATGCATTTTAACAACAATAAATACAATTCCTGTGGTTCGAGATCAAAGAAAACTGGAATTACAAGGCATGCTGCCGATGCGGAGTACAGGTTCTGGACAAACCAGGCAGACTGCACGCTGAACTTCTGCAAAGGGAATAGAGCACAAAAACACAGTTGAAAACACTTCTTAATGATCCTATGAAATTAGATTAGCAAGTAAAGACAGAGAGAAGACTTACCAACTGAGCAAAGTTAACACTGGGATTCACATTGGTGGAGAGGCTGCCTGGAGGGAAACATAACCCTCCTACCTATAAAATCATATATTCTTCTATCAGTCTAATATGTAGAGGTGTGTGAGAGACATGTTGAGATGAGGGTATGAGAGGAGAGGGAGGGAAGAACTCACCAAGACATTAGGAGGTTTACACAAACACGAGGTGTTAGTGAAAGAGGCCTGGCATCGCTCACACCTGCAAAACAATTTTGGAGACTGTTCCAGCCCTTACATGTTTTCCAAAGTAAAACCTGTAATCAAGTCCTCCTATTTTACACTCCTAGGGCAAATTTTTAACACCCTGAAGTGACAGCGATGCCAAAAGAGAAAATGCAGGTACAAGCCAAACCTCAAAGCAAACAAAACAGGAAATGATGTCACTGAAATGTTCTAATCTGTCCTTGCAGTGATGAAGGTCATGAGCTAGAGGCACAGAGGGATGAAGGGCACAGAAGATACTGTGGATATGAGAGGTGTTAAAACCACGAGTCAGTGCTCTAATGGTGCAATATGCCAGGGAGATTAAAAAAATAAAATAAAATAAAAAAACACTACAAAAAATATCTGTTTCAGATTATATTATCCAGCTCTCATATTTTCTTAACAACTTTTGAACTATATCCAATTATTTATCTACCATCTTCCCTGTTAGTTTTTGGTGTGTCTTCTATGCTGCTGATAACATGACCTGTTACAAGAGGACTCAAGTGATTAAGTTGTGTTCTCCTTTTTGTTAAGTTTGGGGGGAGCAGATCAAATAATTTACACTATGATAACTCTAGTAATCGTCTTCTGATTGAAAAACATTTATCAAAATGTTCTTTCAAACTACATGTGCATGTTTGTACGGTGCTCCTCAGTTATACATTTTATTAGGTTCATTCTTTCTTTCTTATTTCAATTCATTTTTTGGCATGAATACAAGGATCTTGTCTTAGTTATACAAAAGGACCCAAATATAAGGTCTGTCTCTCATATGCTGACCAGGGGTGACAACAAAATCCAAGCAAATTGTCTTATCCTTTTTGTTAATCCAGGGTTTGATTGTCCAAGTTTTAGTCTAATTTATTGTCGCATAGATGGAAAAAGAGAAGGTTCTCACAGGGAAACAAGAGGAGGCTTGATTTAAGTTCTCTGCACACTGGAAGTTAACTGACCTGCACACTTCGAGGAGATGAGACACAGATTACACTCTAGCATTGTTCTCACTGTTTTACCAAATTACTCTAATAAAATACAACAAAAATAATGTTGTTTTACATTTACATAAGCAAAAAATATGGAATGACATAGTATGTTGATTTGTTGTGTTACTGTACTTCTTTAATAGAACCATTTAACACATTTGACTGGATTGGACTGTAAATCTATACGCTGTGATTCTTTTAATTTGTTATATCCTGCTTATTTTTATTTATTCAAGGAGTACAGAATATGGATTTTGTTAGAAAGCATCCTTGTCAATGAACTGTTCCAGATGATATTTCTAAAAGTTTTAACCTCAGACGTGGATCTGCATGTTACTGCTACATACCTATCTCCACTGTTGTTTGGGACAGACAGAGCAGGGGAGTTTCCATTACACGTTTCACATCTTGCCTCATCCAAAAGGTTTCCACTGACATCTCTCTCCACTGGAAAGAAAAGAGCAATATTACAGACAATCATATGTTGGGGTAAGGAAGGCCAACACTTTCAACATTACAGACAGGCATTCTTACAGTAAATAAACTAGACCTGGCATTGGTCACTTACCCAGGACACTATCTTTTGGGCACTGGCACTTTCCATCATCACTGAGACTGCCTGGACAGCGAATACACCCAAACCCATCAGTAGTTACTGCCTGTTAGTAAAGACATTATGTCACAAAAGCATTGCTACAAATGGTATTTGTTGTTGTCTTAACACTGTGGCATGGGTTATATTCAGTATGATGTGAGATGAAAGGCAAATAAAATGTATTCTGAGTAAACACCACATACTGGTTTGTCTGTTGAACATTGCTGACAAATTATGGACGCCTTATCAGTGGTGATGGTTTGGTAGCCGGTTTTACAAATGCATCTCAGTCCTGTAGAAGAAGAAACACAAAGTTACAATTCAAGATAAGTTTCACACTCTTCTTACATTATTATGACTAAAGTACTGAGTCTGTCACAGCCTCGCAGCACAAATAGAAAGACAGTAAATACCCATGTAGATGGATATGGGTTGGTGCATATGAACACTTATTGTGCTGTAATACACCTCAGAATTAAAGGACTTAGTTAACCAAGGTCATTTCACAAATGAGGTTTTGCGCATGGAAATGTGGGAGTTACTGCTTACTGATGCGCGTGTGTTGACTCTACTAGAATCCTGATGTCTTGTAACAAATTCATCAAACAGAGAAGGTGCCAGACCATGCAAACAAACATTAACTTGAGATTGCAGTAGCCAATGAAGCGTTCAAAGCTAAACACATTATGTTTCTCTAATTCGCGACAATGGTGCCATCTTAGAGCTTTTTTGTATATGATTTTCACTGTCTGGTTATACAGAGATGAAAGGCTTTAAAGTTGTTTGTGAGGCTTGGGACCTGGGATGGGATAATATTATAACATGCATATACAGCTGTCTTTTGCTAAATTAGAGATTCGATTGAACATTTTCCCAAATAAAATTCCCTTGTTTTATGAATCATAGGTGTGAGTCTCTAGAACGATCCCTCAGTACTTGACTTCTTCAACCACATTAATGGTCTCATTATTTATTTTTACTGAAAATGTTTCTTTGCTTTTTTGTTTAAGAGTAGAAAAACAGGATATTTAATGTTAAGTGAGAAGACCCAAGCCATTTTGAAACTAAGCGCAAGGAGTCATTAAGGTGGGCAGCAGCTTTCCTTTTACACCTTTAGGCGTAGAAAAACATACTAAGACCGTTTTTTTTAATGTTAAAGGAGAAGACTCAAGCCATTTTGAAACAGAGTGCAATGAGTCATTAAGATGGGCAGCAGCTGTCCTAGCAGATCATGCAGATGTGTATATAACCATATCATTGACATTAATTTTGCAGTCAACTGCAGGTCAATCTCAGGTAGGTCTTTGATATACATGCTAAATAGCATTGGAACTTGAAGTGACCCCTGGGGTATCTGCATGCTGTTAGCAAGGAAGGTGGACTTATTGCTCATTGACACTGAAACATAGCACTCTTCCACTTGGCTATGAGTCAAACCAACGTGAAGCCTGATCAGAAAATTTAAATGTAGGAAGTTTGGACAGCAGCCAACACAATTGGGTTAACATTTTTGAAGTCTTTTTTGAAGTCTAGGAAAACTGCTCTCACAACATAACCCCTCTCCAGCAAGCCTTTTGTTTTCTGAATAAGATAAAAGTTTGCAGTCTCATTAGAATGTTTGGGCCTGAACCCAAATTATTGTAGATGCAGTAAGGTGTAATATACTTTTTCTCATATCTAAGACACAACTGGAAGACTGACAATGAGTCTATCATGACATGTCAAGTCTGATTCACAAGCTTTGTAAATTGGACTGATAATGGCTTTTTTGCCAGCTCTCAGGGAAAGTTTTTGTTTTAATTGACATATTTGCGGGCGGCTGTGGCTCAGTTGGTAGAGTCGTCGCCTCTCAACGTTCGAGGGTTCGCTCCCCAGCTGAGCAACATGTCCGATGTGTCCTTGGGCAAGACACTTAACCCTGCATTGCTCCCGCTGCTTCGGTGGTGGTGTATGAATGTATTAGTGTTGTACTTACTCTCTGATGTACGTCGATTTGTATAAAAGCGACTGCTAAGTGAATTGTAACATTGTAACATATTCAACAAATGTGTTATTGGCTTAAGTAATTGAGTTCTATGTTTTTTTTAATCAGTTCACAGTCCAGATTGTGAATCCAGTCTTTGAGTTACTAAGGTTGCTCATGATCTTACTCACTGTTTCCAATGTTACCTCTTTGATGTAAATAAACATTTGAAGTGTTCTGGCTGATTGGTTTGGTATCAACATGAAAATGTGAATTACATAATACATATTAATACTAAAATATTAATTTTGGCCAAATTGTCCAACCCTGCTGTTGTCTATGATAGTTGTATGTATTACCTTCACATAAAACCAATTCATCCAAAAAGCACACTAAGCATTGTGTTTAAGGTGGCCTTGCCCCTTAATTGCTTTGTAAACAGGGTGTTAGCTTGCTAGCTAGGTTCATGCCTAATTTCAAAATGTCTTAGCCATATGCACCTACCAGGGACACCCAGTTCATTTGAGTTTCTATTCGTAATGCGTAGCTGACAACCTCATAGCGAAATCATTGTTCTACTCATAAAACTATTGACTGTTGTCTGCACATTAGTAGATAAGAAGCTGTGTGTTGGTAACAGACCTGTTGTGCTCCGTAGTTGATTTGGACCGCACCTCACACATGAAATACTCGAGATATCGAAAAATTCTTCACATTACAATCTGCAGGAGCCGTATAGGGTATGATAAACTGCTGACAGGAAATAATATCTATGCAAATTATTAGAAATAATGGCAAAAGCACTTTTAGTCTCCGAACAGCAAACGGTGGCGTCCCCGTCGCCATGGTAAACAACGGTCTTCTTTACCCACAATCCTGTTCACCTTGCGTGATGACGTTCGACCTAATTTAAGTGTGCGTGACAACAACAAAAAAAAGTCAAGTCTTTTGTATATCATTTAATTTTATACGTTTGTCATATCCTCATGTTTGTTTGAAATAAAAGACACTTTCGACATAATGAATATGATACAAACATTTTAGTAAATGGGATGACACGGAACTCAGTCAGGTAGACCAACTCGAGTTGCCAATAATCAATAAAAGTAGCCTAATGATTGAAAAAGTAATGATTTATGTTACTAAGTTCTTCAACCCTAACATTAAAGAATTTACTTGGGGCTATATGAACTTAACCTTAAAATCGAGAATTGATCTTTTCTTAATTTCTTCCTCTGCCCTTCATTTTGTGAAAGAGGTTTATCATATGTCTCTTTATCAGACCATAAACAACTCATTTTGAAACATGGTGCTAACAACGGAACTTCTCGTTTGCGATGGTATTGGAAATTCATTAGGCCTAATTGTCTCTTAAAAGACATATTTTTCAATGACTGTTTAAATTTAATAGAGGAACTTAGAGAGACTAGTAAATAATTGTAAGAAAAACTGGGAATTTTTCAAATATAAAGTCAGATATGTTGGCATCAAAAGAAGTAAGGAACTAAATAATGAAAAAAGGATGAAAGAAGCTAATGCATGAACTTGACCTTTTACTTTACTTACAAAAGATTGGAAGAAGAATTGTATTGAAGGACCTGCAGCTACAGCTGGATCAAATGATCTTGACCTTGGCAAAGGTGCCTTCATTAGAAGGTTAAATAAGAGGAGAAAACACAAACTACTTCTTTGTTTTAGAGAAAATTAACTTTAAAAGGAAAGGTTTAACAACTCCATTTCCCTTCTAAAGACCCTATAAGTCAACTGCTAATTTTGTAACTGATTTCTATGAATGCTGATGAGAACGATTTCTGGAAGAAATTCAAACATAAATAGGCCTACCTTCTGTTGATGAAGACCTCAAACTTTTCTGTGAGTTTAAACTAACTACAGCTGAAGTTAAGGAGGCACATATTCTCAATGAAGAAAGGCAAAGCACCAGGTATTGATGGTGTGTTGTTGAATATTATGTGCACTTTTTAGGAACTTATTCAAACATCATATCATAGATCAAGGAGAGATGACAACTATGAAGGCCTTAGTTTAATCTTAGTTAACGCAAACAGATTGAAAACAGGTCTGAACTCCGTTATTGCTGAAACTCAGACAGGATTTATGAAAAACAGACACATTGTAATAGCCTATAGGCTAAGACTTATTTTATATTTTATATTATGCAGATGCAGTCAAATCGAAGCATTTTATTATTTAATTATTTTATTTTTGGATGCTTACAAAGCCTTTGACACAATCAAACACAATTTCTTCTGCAATCCCTCAAGGCATTTGGTTTTGGTAATATCAACATTGTCAGCCTGTTTTACAAAGATATTAGCAGCTTAGTTGTAATCAATTTCAATACATCCAAGAGATTCCGAATCAACAGTAAGCATGTTTGCCGGACATTTCAAAGAAATAATGAATTAGTTCCCAGAGTAAAGTTTTTCTGGAGGTCTAAAATGGAGCACATTAACTGGAGAAGGGCTTGGCTTTTACCTTACAGATGCTGTATTACAAACAAGGCTATAGAGGCTTCAAAATTCAACATAAAATATACCCGATTAATTGCCTTATTACCAAGTTTACAGATATTGATGTGTGTTGCACTTTTTGTAAAAACCATACAGAAACAATCTCCCACCTTTTTTTGAATGTAAATCATCAGAAAGATTCTGGAAGACCAGAGTCTCATTTTTTTCTGGCCTCTGACTGTCCTCAAAGATGTTATTTGTTTCAATGAAAATAAAGAACACGTTGCTTTTAAATATGTAACTTCATTATACTATATGCAAAAATGTTCATCCACAAAGAGAAGTTCTCAGAATCACTTCCTACATTTTTAGTAACTAAAGTCCTTACTTAAATAAATCCTTTTAATTAACAACAACAAAAAATTAACAAATTTATGAATTTCTATAAAACCTTTTTCCCAGAGACCACTATTCAAATCATGATTTATCTTATTAAGTATTCTTATGTAGGCTATACTTTTATATAGGCTATGGGCTATTCACTTTGTCTGTTATAACTTCCTGTACTGTATGCAGTTTTATTATCTAGCATAATCTGCCCTTTACCTGATTTACATGTGCTACTGTTTCGCTTGATTACAATATTCTTCTTGAATAAAGCTATTAAAAAAAGAAATGACAAAGAGTTGCCAATGATCAAATGAATAGACATTTTTTGTGCAACTCAACTTTCCTGAAAAAAAAAATAACCCCCTCTCTTATGCTGTCAACAGAAATGAACTGCACATTATTATAAATCAAGGTGAACAGAGTTCATTTATTCAGTAGGCTATATCTACCAAGTGTTGGCCTTTACTTTTGTGATTTAATGTTAACTGCATTTAGCAAGTAAAGCAGGTGACAGTCATAAATCGTTTGGAAAGTGTGGGCGGTTTCAGAGGGAACTGACAGAACTTGATTAAATTACACTAATGTTGTAAATTCAAACCAAAATGAAGGTAGATACAGGTCTGATACATGTCTAAATGTGTTTGATACATCTTTGAGGAAACATTTTTAAAAGAGTTGGTTGGCTGGGTTCTTGTGGGCGGCTATATTCCACAGAGTGTTTGTGTGTGTGTGTTTGTGTGTGTGTGTGTGTGTGGGTTGTAGGGACTTTTGGCAGGAAATGTAAGCAAATATTCTAGCTGTTAACTTCCTCTTTTTACCTATGTAAATATGATTTCATATTCTGCAATGAAGGGGAAACCAGTGCTAAATGATTTGTCTTCAATCAACCTTTTGAACCTGTAGCCTAAGTGGTTTCAAACTCAGGTACGTTTTTAACTCTTTACTCTTAACCCTTCTTGGTTGTAGAATCATGTCACAGAATGAGGAGTACTTGCCCTCACTCCGGTCCAGTAGTGGGCGCTAAAGCTCGGCTCTCTGCTGAACTGAAGCAGGTATTTGAGCAGCGGGAGTGACAGAGGAAAGTCCCCGCTGAACCTCTGCGCTGATTGTTGATGAGACTCGAGGCGGATCGAGGAGTCGCTTGAGACCGCAGTTAGTTTTTCAGCATCATACCCATGATAAACGTGAGAAAGAATCAGGGCGACGTTCTCAAAAACAGCCTCTTTTCAAATATATATGCTGTACAGTTGTTGATGTGAGTATTTTTTTTAGCGCGTTTCAAGAAGATAGAAAACTTTTTTTTTTTTTTTTTTCCATTTCCCACCTTGGCAGTTTCCTTTCAGACTGGTTTATGACGCACGTGATTTTAGCGCCATGATTATCATACTACTTCGGGCTTACGTTTTTGTCGTCTTTCTTGTGTATGTTTTTCACCTTTTTGTTCTCCTTTACATTTTCAGAAACCTTTGCTGTCCTGTTGTACAATGGCAATAATCTTACGACTGCAAGGCCTCGACGTGAAGGCCGGCACTGAAGATATACGTTCATTCTTCGAATTCCTTCACATTCCAGATGGCGGAGTTTACATACTTGGAGGAAGTCTGAGAGAAGCGTTTATTGCATTTAACACAGAAAGGGATGCCCAGCTCGCCATGCGGTTGACAGGAAATGTTCTAAAGGGGTCTCCGGTGAGTCTGCATATAAGCAGCATGGCAGAAATGGAGCTCAAACTTAAGTCATTGTTAAAGAAGAAGGAACGCTCCCCTGCGCAGGTCACAGACAAAGGAACAAAGTGTTCCAAGGGTGCAAAACCACATTTGAATGGAAGGATTCCTAGCCCCAAAGAGGCAGATCTACGACCTACAAGACCACTTGATCCCAGGAAACTGTCACTTGCTACAAGTCAGCAAGCTTCAACTGCACCCTCACTTGATTCAGGTACTGCCTTTATCCTCGGAGTTTGCTCTGTTCTTCAAGGTCTCCAGTCATTCCATCAGGGAGAAAATGAAACAAAGGCTGACCCCACAGCTGTGTCTGATGAGGTACAGACACAAGAGCAAAGTCTGGTTTCAAGCCCAGGCTATGTCAGGCTCTTCGGTCTGCCAGCCTCAACCACAAAAGATGACATCTGTCAGTTTTTCAGAGGGTTGACTGTGCAGGAAGTCATAGTGAATGTGAAGTTGGGAATTAGCCATGGCTGCCTTGTGAAGTTCGCCAACATGCAGGATGCAAGTGATGCACTTCTCTTCAATCAACACCAGCTGGGCAACTTCACCGTGGAGGTCCGTGGAGCAACAGAGAAGATGTGGACTAGTGCACTGCATGAATGTGAAAATGCATTGGATGATGGTTCCAGATTGAAACCTAATCGAAGCCCTTTTAGAGAAACTCCAAACCACAAACCCCCCTCTGTACTGTGGATGAAGAGGGGACCTATCAGCCTGCTGTCATCTAAATCAGCGAAAAAGCCGAAATGTGATGACTTAACTACGATATGGCCAACGAAAGAGTACATTGTGAAGGTCAGTAATCTGCCCCCCACGATGACAAAGACTGAAATAAAAGAATTATTTGGATGCCCGACCATTCCACACAAACATGTACTGCATTTTCTTGACCAGGAAGGCAATAGAACCGACGTAGCTTTTATCATTTTTAAATGCACTGCAGATTATGACTATGCAATAAACCTTGATGGTTGCCATGTGGGCTCTGCTGCCATTGAGGTGACATCAATCACAAGGTTCATGATGAGGAAAATGATGGCTAAAACCCATCCAAGGAGTCAGAATCATACTCTGAAGATGGGCACAAACAAACGAATGAATCGAACGGGCTTCTCTGATCTAGTTGAACCACCAAGCTGGAACCGAGACCCAGCAGCCCAGACGTGCCTGTTTGTCAGAAACATGCCAGCTGACGTACAGGAAAGTCAGATAAGAAGCCTTTTCTTCAAATACAAACTTGCCAAAGAGAATATCTTCTTGCTGCGGGACAGTGACGGCAGGGGCATTGGTGAGGCCGTGGTCCAGTTTAAATCACCCAAGCATGCTTCACTTGCTCAAAGACTCCACAGACGGGACTTCTTGGGGTCTGAAGTGCTTCTCACTCCCATAAATGGGAAGCAAATGAAAGACATCTTGGGGCAAGAAATGTTGAAGTGAACGATCAAATGCCTGCACAGTGATCAAGGAGTGATTGGGAGTTGTTAAGTTTGCTAAACAGTTCATCTTTCAACTGTAATCTACTGAGTTACGTTTCCTGGTTGTAACCGTTTTCATCATGATGTAAAATTTCTACACTTTCCCTCTGAGGACATCTTATACATTTTAAAATAAATGTATTAGAACTGTTTATTGGTCTATTAATTAACACAAGACAACATCAACATTAAGAGGCTATGTTTGACTCTGATAAGATGGACCAGGATGAAACTATAGGGGGGGGACTCCTGTAGAAATATGAAAACAGAAATGAACCAACAGCAAGGAAGAACTATACAGAAATGACAAAACATGGGTTGTTTTTTTAAATACTTTTAATAAAAGTATACACTTGCACTAAGCTACTGCTTATGATCAGTTAAAGATGCAGAAAACATTTTCATAAAACTTGCCAAAATGAGAACCTCTTAAGAGGTCAAAAACATAAAAAAAAAAAAAACTACTTAGCAATAGAGAACCTTAGTCAAATAAAAGGTACACAAATTTTCATCTCATGGACAGTGTTGTCTGCGGTGCACTTTGGACAGATGGATAAGAAGACGAAGGTGTTGCATCTTGAAGTCATTTGTAAAACCTGGATGGCCCATCGGAGAACCTGTTGGGACCTGCAGGCACAGAAAATAACAATCAACAAAAAGGCAACATTGAGAAAGATGCGCAACTAACACTGACTTCCATGTTATCTTAAATGTGAGACAAAAAACTTTCTTTGGCATCTGTCAGTCAACATTTTCAATACCATGAACTCCTACGCTTGAGTCAGAGGTACATCAATTGGAAAGCTGATGAGGAGATTTGTGTTTACTAACCTGAGAGACTACTGGAGTATCTGTCGCTGCTTGGCAGTCTTGAGGGTGTAGAAGAAAAACTTGTTGAGCTCATTGAAAAGCTGTTCAGACTGGAGCCCTAAACAGGAATTGGGGAAGACATATAATTAGGGAAGAGCAGATGTACAAGTTGCACATGCACTTCCAAATTAAAATTTGACAGTTGGAACATGCTTTATGCAATACAATTGAGCACCATACCGACGATACACTTCTCAGTCTGTACTCCATCAGCACGTCTGTTAGTTTCTGTGTCACCTTCAGCACCAGCTGTGCGTCATTCTCATTCTCTATCCGGAAAGAATCCTACAGAAAGATTTTTTTGTGGTACATTGTGAAAATATGCATTATTTTAACAAAACGCCAATTTTGTTAAGTTGCAGAGAAACTGAGAAATTAGACATGCATACCAGGTAAGTGAGTAGTTTATTGGAGAGGTTGCTACTATCTGGAGCTGCTCCCAGCAGGCCAGTCCTCTCCACTGGTTTGTCAACTGGTCTGTCCATTAAGCCCCCCCCCCCTTGGCTGCCCCGGTACTCATCAGGATACAGTCTTCCTGGGCTCTCCAATAGTCCACCCCTTCTATAAGTATCTCCACCTGGTCCAAAACCATCCCCAGCTGGGTGTAGACCCATGCCATCTGAGAAAGGTCCTCGATCCATACCAGAGTCAAGGAAATCTTTCCCAGTCGAGTACCCTCCAAAGCCAGGCTCCCCATAGTCTCCCACTGGATATTCAGGGAGATAACCCCCCTGAGGAGGAAACCGCTGGTCAGAGAACCTGGGACCTGAGAAGGAAACATGTTCACTACCTTAAAATGCACATAAATAAATTCAATAGAATAATGACATACATGTGCATGACTGTGCAGATTTTTCTTGAGAATTAAAAAAGACTCACCAAAGGGTGGAGGTCCCTTAAGTCCCATTCCTAGTGCTGGAGGAGGCACAGCTTTAGGGGTCGCAGAACCTGAGTGAGAGGAATGGACATGAACTCAACTCAAGTAACCAACCAGCAGGAAATACTTATTCTTTAAGTCATTTGTGGCAGAACAACTTACGAAGTCCTTTGAAAGCAATGACTTCACAGGGCTCTTTCAGAATCACCTAAGAGACACGAAGAAAAAAAAGAGCCGAAAATAAATAAAATAAGCATTTTCATGTCAATGTTTCAACTTGTATATGTTAAGTTTCTGTTACTATGCAGTGTTTTTTACAATAAAAAGGCAGTGATGAGACTCAGCTGGCTATTTTAGAATTCACCATCAACAGCCAGCCTTTGTGGCAAAAAAACAAAAATCTTGTAAGCTGATACAGAAGTTCAATTTATTGCTAAAATGAAAAAAGGGAATAACAGCAGAAGCCTGGCATTGAACCGCAAAATCTGATCTGAGTGACAAAATTCTGAGTTGCGTATAGTCCTAAATAGCACTGCTCTCTCATGAACTGCAATGATATAGTGTCAGTGAGGGCTTGCTCCAGAAGAACTAAGGCCTGGTACACAATAAAATATTTTTTAAATCTTAAACTATCTTCAAAATATGAGAGACCCAACAAATGACAACAAATCATAACAGATTAACAGTTCAGTTCTTTTAGTGTGTGAGACGACCAACTCAGCACACCACACACTAACTTTTTCAGATTCATTCAGCAACAACCAGAGTCTCAACTATCAAAACGTGTAAACTTGAGTGGTCAAACGTGACTTAAGAGTAAAAAAAACATGTTATGGATCTGGTACATCCAAAACATTTTGCTCAAACTCCTGTCCTTGTCAGTTTGATTGTGGTTTGTTTTATAGGACACGTTGTATAAACACTCGTGTTGTTGCCACAAATCAACAAGTTGGTCCTGAATTTATGACATCCATCTAACTTTACGCTTTGCGTTTGCTGTCGTCGCCATGGTTATGTTTGTTGTGCTTCCTGCTTCAGTCAGTTTGCATCCCTATTGGATATTGTTCTGGTCTAAGTGACAATTCAATCAGTCCGTGCTCGGCCATCCTAGGTGTCCTCCCCACACAACAGGCTTCCTGATCATGTTTATTTAACATATTTAACTTTAATGTATACGATTTCCAATGCCTTTAATCACATTCCTGATGGGTAGCCTTTTTATGTAAAGGGCAGGATAACCGCACAATGACAATGCAATATCTAAATAGTTAATGTTACGTCGCATTGTGATATACGGTATAGCAGTGCTTAAATTTCAATTTTTAAATCAAAAAGAGGTAAAAAAAAAAAAAAAAAACTGTCACATTTAACAAGTCCCACCATCGTGTCATGTTTTTAAAAAAAACAGCCAGCTTTAACACAAACATGAGCATTACAGGAAGCAATGGTAGAAAATATCCCACATTTTTTATATGTTTTTGCCACTAGTGAATCCCAACAAGACTTACCTTGAGTTGGCCCCTGCCTTCTACACTCTCGACCTCTGCTGCAGCTTCTTTAATTGTCTTCCTAACAGTGGGGTCTTTGACGGCCTCCTCTTCTTCACAGGTGAGCTTTTCAGGGTGAACCTTTTTCTGTGCACAAGGAGAGATATGATAATGATAAAATATTAAGAATTACTTTGAACTATTCTGGGTTTGACTTTTGATTAAAAAATAAATGAATAAAAAATACCAAGTATCTGAAGCTGTGTTTCCAGCCTTTCACGTGGGCAACCATATCATGCTGCAAGCGGGAGACAGCACAGAGTTTGCACTGGTAGTGGGGTGGGACAGATTTGCTTGGGCTTCTGTACTCCCAGACATATTGAAGACCTGTAGACACATAATGATAGTTGGCTTTGCATTTCAATACAGGAAGAAAAGAAGCTAATAGATTTGTGGGGAAAATAGCACTTCTGCTCACCAACGATGCACTCTGGGACCCCCTTCAACAGTTTGCTGAGACTGGGCATAGTCTGAATAATGGAGCCTTTGGTAAATACTGAGAAGACATAACACTGGTCAGCAGAAAGCACACGTTTTATAATGGTCCACAGCTGACAAACTTGTGCAAAAGGTTCACTTGCAACAAACTGGTTCAGTGACCCACAATCAATTTCACAAGAGACAAACAATAATCGTAATGATCATAGTGAAGAAGAGGATAAGGAGGTGAGTACCTTTAGTGTCTGAAAGCTGATACGTTTTATATTTATCTGAACAACCATTAGATACCCAAACTCCTCATGTGTGCCTTTGAAGCCGAGGGGAAGACCAAAAACAACAGTTCTCTGCTAACCCCCATTTAGACCAGAATTGGGCTGAGGGACATCATCTTCCATGATGCATTGCTCCCAATTTTGCCCAACTACAGAAGTACAACTTCCGTTTCACAATAATGAAGCAGATGAACTGCAAAAGCTTGATACTGTCTGCATGATTTACAATACGAGAGTTAAACTCGGATTAAGACATCAAGTAAAACAGTATCTCAAAACAGCATAATACTAAGAATACATGTAAAAAGAATGCTGTATTCAGCAGTATTCTGGGGAAAAAAAGGTTCATACAACCATCAAAGCACGAAAGTGCATCGATATCTGAACAGCAACTGTCACAAACCCACAGTTGTATGTCAAACATTTTCAAGACCATGAGTCGGTGTCTGGGGGATCTTATGGAGCCAATGATGCTCAACTTCAACGAACAACATCTAAGGAGAATGGGTTGGCTTTTTTCTAATTGTTCAGTATAAGTCATTCTTTTGAAATCATGATGTACATATTGCGAAGTGGCTTTTCTAAATATCAGTAAGGGTGCAACACAGTGGATAACGTTTTGTAAGATTCTTTCTGCAGCAACAAACACAGATCATGTCACTGCAACTGCCCCATCTCTGAGTGAGAGTCCGTAAGAGTGGTGAATATGCCACCACCCCATGACATGAAGCAGAGAACGCTTCACCTCTCAGCAGTGGCAGTGTGTAATAATCACTTACCTATCTCAGCAGAATGCTGCGGCTGCTTTCTCTGTCAATGGAGGGAATAAACCCACATGAAGGAGAGAGACACATAGAGGCATTAGTGACAGGATGACACTTAGCAGAGGACTGAACTCCTCGTTCATGTCCGCCACCCTATGTATGCCATAGAGCCAATCATTTCCTTGTTCTCCATGACCCCTGCATCAAGCAGCGGCAGTCACAGAGACAAGTGTCTACACTGAGTCTTTATCATGTAGTCTGGTTAATGATCTACATTCTCATCATATGAGAATGTACAACAGTAAAGCTGTTTAATAAGATGGCAATATTTAATATCAGAATTAAGGCTGAAATACAAAGTTCAATATGCAAAAATGTCTA